TGCCCCATTCTGTTGTCTTTAGCCAGAGATTATATTTATGATGGTGGCTTGGGCCATTTCAAGGAGTTACTAAATTTCTTCGGTCCCTCCCATGTACACAGGAGGTATAAATGTTGTTAAACTTCTGTGTGTTTTCCTCCTGTTAATCTGCTTTTTCTTTTTAATCTGTCTTTTCATTGCAGGGTTTTCTTAGCCAAGAACCTAGAAGGGTAGTAGGAAAATTATTTAAATTGTCTTTAAAAATTTAACTTAAGAAACAATAAAAGAAAATAGCAAGTGTTGGTGAGGATGTGGAGAAATTGGAACCCTAGTGTACTACAGATGAGAATGTAAAATGGTGCAACTGCTATGGAAAACAGTATGAAGGTTATTTAAAAATTTAAAAATAGCCTCAACATAATAAAGGCATATATGACAAATCCACAGCTAACATCATACTCAATGGGAAAAAACTAAATAAAATACCTAGAAATAAATTAACAAAGGAAGTAAAAGACCTATACTTGGAAAAAATTAAAAATAGGACTACCATATGATCCAGCAATCCCACTTCCAGGTATTTATCCAAAAGAATTGAAAACAAAATCTTGAAGAGGTATTTGCATTCCTATGTTCATTGCAGCATTATTCACAATGGCCAAATAAAGTGTTAGCATAGGTAGCTAGCTACTTATTAATAAAGAAAGGAAGCAAATGGAATCATACATTAAGCCAGGGTGGGGAACATCCGGCCCGCAGACCCTATAAGGTCCACGGAATCATTTGGTCTGGCCCTGCCAAGGCATTAGGGGTGAGTTAATTAAATGTTTGAGCAAATATAGCAGGCTAATTTTTAAGTTGATAATTTTGTACGGCCTGCAAATGATGTTATAAATATCCAAATGGCCCTTGGCAGAAAAAAGGTTCCCCATCCCTGCTGATTAAGCCTAATAAACTAGGGAGTTGAATCAGACATTAAGCCTGATTCACTAGGAAGCCACAGCATTCACAGTCCCCCAGAGGACAGCCACATTCTCAGCTGAGGGGCCTTAATCCCAGAGCAGGCAGGAAGAATCACTTTCCGATCTCCCCAGGACACTACTGGCCCAGAGCTGAAATGATCAAGGGGAGGAGTGGGGAAATTCCTTTGCTAGATGCCTGTGCAGGAGAAAGCAAGATGGCACAGGGGGAGAGGTAAGCACATGTTCAATAGGAACCAGAGGAGGCAGCAAAACTGAGGCATATGCAGTAGGAGCCAAAATGGTAACATAAAGGGGAAGAGTACAGCTTGGGAAAATCTGTGGAAAGATTGGATCGGATAAAGGGTATGAAACTCTGGAAGATCTGGGAAAGGGATTGGATAAGGGGAGAATCCAGCACAGCCCCGAAGAGCCCGGAAAGAGACTGGTTAGTGTGAAAGAGAACTTGCTGTCACCCTGGCCTGGCAGCTCAGTTGGTTGAAGTGTCCTCTCATAAACCAAAAGGAGGGAGGGAGGGAGGGTGGGAGGGAGGGAGAGAAGAGAAAGAAAGTCTGCTTTCTCCCAAGCCCAAGGTAATATAGTCAAAGCTTAACCAAGGCCCATCTCGGTAGCAGGGGTTCATTTGTTCAGCCATGCAGCTCCAGGCACAGCTCTAGTGCAGCCGGGAACATAAACTAAGCTAGCCAGACGGGGACAGAGAACGAGCTGGATTAACCTTTGGCATGAACTGGACTGAACTATGAAAGCTTTGGATGCCCTGCTGATGTCAGGCTAATGGCACACCATACCTGGGCCCTTGCCTTCTGGGTTTGGTGAGGACAAGTGTGGGTCTGAGGCCCCAGGGACTGGACTTATTCCACAGAGAGATGGAACTGAGTCACCTAATAAGATGAGACATGGGGCACCTGGGGAAAGTCCTTTATTTTTGCTCCAATAAATCTTACCACTACATCTCATCCTCCTAAGAGTGGATCCCTGAAATGCTTTTCTCATGACTCTATGGGAAAACCCTATTTCCACCAGCAACAAAAGGATGAACAGATAAAGAAAATGTGGTATATACATATGTGGATAAAAAAGGGGCCACATACTAAACCTGACAAGCTCAGGGGAGGCCTGCATGGTGGGCCTTACAAACTCAGAGACCTAAAGTAACTACATAGGATGGTCTGAAATTAAAACTTCCTAACTAAAAGGGAGTCATGGTGGGTAGTCATGTCCTAGCCAGCATAGTCCTGGGTTTGTCAATCTTTACCTTAACTGAGCCTATCTATTCTGTGTTTGCATCTAAGATAACATCTCTTTGGAATGTCATAGTAATCCTCTTTTTTTCAGACCTCTCGGGCACAACTTCCCAAAAGCATGAGACCCCAGAACCCCTCATTGTTATCTTGCTGCCCAAATACCATCTCTTTGTGCTATATATGTTCATTGTTAACTGTCCCATACCCACTAACATACATATCACCAATAGATTTCATATAACACAGCTTAGGTCTCCCCCTTTGACTCTGATGTATAAAATAAGCAGTAAAGCTGCCATTCTCTAGAGCATTTTCTCAATATGCTGAGATTTTGTTTCCCAGCAACTGTCATCGGGTTGGTTCAAATAAATTCATAGAAAATCACAGAAATTCAGGTTTGGATGTTTCTTACATCAACATTTACAAAAGAATATTCAACATTAAGAATGAAGGGAGAGAAGAATCCAAAAAGCAATATTTTTCATCACATGCCAAAAATGGGATAGAGAGGAGGAGTGGCAGGCCTAAGCCCCTCCAATTGTCCCTTGAGAGGTACCCCTCAGCCCACCTCAGTATGGTGCTGGGTAGAGGAGATACCTGGGTTCTAACCTCTAAACAGGGGAGACCCCAGCCTCTAGATAGAGGCCATTTTATTTTTTATTCTGATTAGCCATTTTAAACTAACAAGGAATAAAAAAAAAATCCTGATCTAACCAGAAAAAAAAAAAAAAAAGAATGAAGGAAGACCTGCCATTTGGGACAACATGAATGAACCTGGAGGACATTATGTTAAGTGAAATAAGCTAGTCACAGGACAAATACTGCACGATTCCACTTATATGAGCTATCAAAAATCATCAAATTCATAAGAGGAGAGAGTAGAATGTTGGTTGCCAGGGCTGGGGGATACAGGAAAATGGGTTTATGAAAAATTTTGAGAGATCTGCTGTATAACAATGTGCACAGCACATTGTATAACAATGAACAGCACTGCACTGTATACTTAAAATTTGTTAGGGGAATTGATTTCATATTATGTGCTTTTATCACAATGTTTTTTAAAAGTCTCTATATAGCTCACTCAGAGTGGCTCAGGGGTTAAACGTTGACCTATGAACTTGAATTTTGGGCTCGATCTCCAGTGTGGGGTGTGCGGAAGGCAGCCAATCAATGATTCTCTCTCAACATTGATGTTTCTCTCTCTCTCTCCCTCTCTGAAATCTATCTATCTATCTATCTATCTATCTATCTATCTATATTTTAAAGTCTCTACATAGGGCACTGCTACTCATTGAAGTAGATAAATGTGGAGAAGAAAGATGTTGAGAGTTTTCCTAAAAGAGAAGGTAGGCAATAGGCTGTAAGGCAGACACTGAGGAGTGAACTGGCAGTATGGGTCTCTCAGCAGGTAGGGAGGAGCCCAGCCACCTACACAGAAAGCGTGGGCAGCAACCCCTTGAGTCCTCCCCAGAGCTTTACATTTGCCGGGGGCATGACCTTGAACAAGTTAATTAACATCTCAGCGCTTCGGTTTCCTTGTGTATAATTTGAAAACAATACTACCTAATTCTCAGAATGCCTATGGGCATTCATGGATATAATTCACGAAAAGCACTGCCAACGTGGGGCTGGTGCAAGGTCAAGTGCTCACATCACATTACTAACATTGATTATTATTATTATTATTATTATTATTATTTGGGGTGAACAGTGCACAAAGGTCTCAAAGAGAGCAGAGGGCAAGGGAACCTCAGTAATTTGCCACTGTGAGCAGTGGTTAGTTAAAATAAAAAAAAGATGAGAAAAAATGATAAGGCAACTCCCCTTTGAACCTCGATCTCATAGTCACTCTGATTCCTATGCTTCTAACTTTGGAAGGGTCTGAGTGACTGGCTCAAACTCTCTTCTCCCCAATCCCCCACCCTTCATCTCCTCTCTCATCTCTGGCCTCCCAAATCAAGGGGTAAAGAGATCCATTTATATTTTATACCTATAACGTCATTTAATTCTGCAGCAAAATAAAAAGATGTCAATGAAAGGAAATGCTGCAATTTGTGCATATGCAAGACTCTCAAGATTCAAAGTTTTTAGCAAGTCTAGCACAAAGATGCCCAGTGTTTTCTCTGGCGATATCTTCAGAGGCTAAACTGTGATTAATAGCCCAGAAAGAAGCCTTTGAAGCAGGATTGGTGACATCAAAGTTGTAATCCAGGGGTGGCGGGAGCTTTATAATGAGTGGGAAGCATTTTCACACATTTCAAAAGGATTTACAGCGTGACTAAACAATAGACCTCAGCAGATGTGCCACACACCTTTTAGAAACATAACCTGTAAGAAGTTTCCATTTTAATTGAAATGTAAATACACTGTTCACACTTCTTTCAAATGTTAAGAGCATCCTCAGTACTTTACCCCTAGTCAGTGTTGTGGGCTGAGGATACCTCATTCCCCTAGGGCACCCTCCTGTGCTTCCCTAAAATGTGACTACCGAGGATGACAACGTATGTCCCCAGAGAAAAAGAAAGTCAGAGCCATCTAATGGAATTTATATCCTATGTAGGAACTGGGTTAAAAAAGAATCTGAAGTGGAGCTTGCAATGACCCCACACAATTTCCCTGCTTCCAACTTAAGGAGAAAGAGACAAGTGGTCTGAAGACAGAGCTGGGAGTTTTTTAAAACGGCAATTTCCTGCCTGCCTCAGACAGAGGATTTTCATCCCTTGGAAAGCACCCAGCACCCATGATTTCATCTTTAGTCACCTCTAAGAATTGCCTGAAAGGAGGAGTTGCTGTTCTAAATGATCACGCAAGGAATTCGGCTTCCCTCTGCTGCCCCCTATGGGTTTGCAGGATTTGCTACAGGCTTCCAGTGGTGACTGCTGGTGAGCATTTGTACGGGAAATTTTCCTGTTTTAATTTTCCCTAACACAAGAAATAGGCTAACAAGCTTATTAATGATTGCAAAGCAATGCTGAAATGCAAGAGAGTTGTGTCTAATTGCTACCAAAAAAGAAGCTCCAAATAAGAAATCAAATGCTTCAATTCATCTGTTGTCAGATTATCTGAGTAGACCTGAGAACTGAAACCAAATACCCTACAGTCAGCTTGGATATTGAGAACCAAAATCACACCTACAGTCTACATGAAAATGACCTTGTGCTATTACTGCCTTTATTAGCATGAATTTCTTTTCCGGGAGCCTCCTGTCCCAGCAAATGGTTTGATGATTCATTACAGGAGCTTCCCTAAAGACCCAGAGCCCATCAACTCTTCAATGGAAAATATCCACAGAAACTTTAAGCCCTATGATTCTGCAGATCCCTCATTTCAAAATTCCCACCTCACTGTTTCCACCAATCATGGACTGTTGTATTGTGCGTGATCCTTACCCAATTCTTAATCAAGCTTCTTCACTTTGAAAGACCCTCTTTACATCAAATTTGATATCTCAATAAATTCTGACCTGCCTTTCCTTCTCCCAGACGCTGCAAAGCTTTGAGAGGTGATGGTCTAAGCAATGAACTCTGCTTTGTTTTGTCAAGAGATTGTGTGGCTAATGTTTAGGGAGTCAGCTTGAGACAGACCTACACTACTGAGATTTATGCAGTGATTGAAATGTTCTCATTTCAGGTAATAACACTGTCCCTAATAAAAACGCAAGGGGTTAAATTCAGTAGATGTTCAAAACATACTATAGTATTTGTATGTTTAAAAAATAACCTAGTTTGTCTTTATATAACTATAAGAGGCCCGGTACATGAATTCGTGCACCATTCGGGATCAGGCCAAAGCCAGCTCTCCAACATCCCCTGAGGGGTCCCAGATTGCAAGAGGGTGCAGGCCAGGCCAAGGGACCCCACTGGTGCACGATTGGGGCCGGAGAGGGACTTGGAAGGTTGGCCAGCCGGGGAGGGGTCATGGGAGGGCTCCAGGGCATGTCTGACCCATCTCGTTCAGTCCTGATAGGCCAGACCCCAGCAGCAAACTAACCTACCAATCAGAGTGACTGCCCTGGTGGTCAGTGAACATCATAGCAAGCGGTTGAGCGGCCTTAGTATATCATTAGCATATTACACTTTGATTGGTTGAATGGATGACTGGATGACCGGACACTTAGCATATTAGGCTTTTATTATATAGGATCTATCCTAAATCTATAACAATAACCTGTTTTAAATTTGATACATTGAGGTAACATAAAATAGTGAGCAAAAATATGACACAGTTGTAGGAGCCAAGAGAGAAAATGTGAAGTTAGATTTTGTTCTGCAGTTTTTACCTCCTCCCTTGGCATGTATCTGTGGCTCTGAGTGTTAGTATCAGTAAATGGGTAGGGGGATGGTGGTAGAGCTGTAGTTTTGTGGAGAGAAGAAATCAAGAGAAAATAAGAGGCCAACCGTACTCCTGGCTGTTTTATTGAAGAAAGATATGCACTCTCTTTTCTGAACACACAACCTGCCTTTATCATGTATATAGGAAATTCAAAGCCAAAAGAAACTCCTTTCCCATTTCTGTATTGACTTTCAATTGGCAGTTGCTGGCATCTTACAGAATTTCTGCATGATGACTATTTGCTTAAAGGAAGCCAAACCAATGTTTTTGCTATTTTTCATTTAGAATGTGAACTATAGCTTTAAAGATTTGTGACCTAGAGGTTTTCAAATTTGTAGAGCTGAACTAAAAATAGTATCTCCTTTCCTCCTTAAGCTTTAAAACTCATAAACAAGATGTCAGCCCAGCAAACAACTGTACAAAACCATCAGAATGCTTTCAGAAGGTAACAAGGCTTCCCTTCCTAACTCAGTCAGCAGGGGAGCTGAGGCCGCTTTCCATATTTTATGGCCACATTGGTGGAAGCTGCCAGTTCAGTCTATGTAAATGACAAGTCTTTGCCCTTCGTAGAGCCAGGTTAAAAAAACTCTGGGCATTGTTTGCCTTTCCCACATTTTTGGTGGCGTTTGTGTGGAAAGAACATGGCTGTTAAATGGCTTGGCATGTATTTATTCACACAAATATTGGAGCCTAGACTGTTGATATGTATCCAGGAAGACTTGACTCATTCAGAAAAATATGAAATTCACACACATATCAGCACCGACATCACTGATATGTACGAGTCACATACATCAATCTCTGAGCAACATCCATGTGCAACAGAGTGGTCTTTAGTCCAATCAGTGCTAGTCCTGGACAAAACTGTAACTTTGCAAAGAATATATTCAAGTCCTCCCCCCACCACCCCTTTTCCCTCCCTGTTTCCACTTCGAAGGTGCAGCATGGCTTTAATGCTATGTCATCTCGCTACCCTGACAACCAATTCCCCTACTTCCATGCCCCACCCTGCACTTTTCCAGGCAGCACAAACCTCCATATCCTCATCACACCTTTCCTGTCGGCATTCCAAACCTTCAGTTGTCAGCTCTCTTCGGACAACTAATCCAGGTCTAATTTGTTCATGGATAGATAAATGTATTGTATTACTTCACTCAGGTAAGATGTTTACATGTGAAGGAGAGAATTTGTCACTAGGTCAACATTACACTGTTCCTTGTAGCTCCCTCTCACAAAAGGGTCCACCCATCTTACACCACATTGCTGGACCTTGATCTTGATGAAGCTGCATGAACACAAAGGACTTGTTCCATGGATGCCATGGCAGGTTGCTATGGCGCACGAGT